GAAATCAGGGTGGGAGAGGGTCGTCGGCGAAAGCACATGTACAGAGCTGGAGAAGGACGCGGGAGTAAATTACTGGTTGATTTCTGAGGCGATGGGAGTTCAAAGGGCAAAGTAACAACAGGGTAGGGGGGAGGGGGGTAGGTTGGAGGATCAGTAGCCAGTCGAGCGGCTGTTTTCACCGCCCGGCGCAGGGCTGACACTTCGACCGGGCGAGGCCGGAGAAGAATCGGAGGAGGGTTCAACCTTGGAGGAACCCGGAGCAGTAGCGGACTGTCCAAAGGTAGGGCCAAACTCCAGGCGGTACTCGTCCAACAGCTGGGCGAGTGCTGACTCCTCCTCCTCCTCCTCGTTCTCCTCCGACGCCGTCTCCGTCGGCGTCAGCCGCTGTTCTACCTCAGGGTTGGCGGAGCGGAAGCTGGGTTCGATCGGCTCGTTCTCTGTGGGCTCCAAAAAGCGAAGACTTTGGCGTTGCATGTGCCACTCATCAAACAGAGTTTGGTAGTGCTGAAGTTTGGCTGTCTCACCCAGCTTGCGGTACACTCGCTGGAGACCGCGATAGTCGTACTCCAGTCCACTGTAAGTAGGACCAAATAGGTTCAAACCTGTACAGAAACAAGAAAACAGCGAGTGAGGCGTGTGAGATAGGAGTGAGCGCGATGATTAGCAAGCGCGGGGAAAGGGTGGAGAGGGACGATTGCGACGGGAACGTGAAGTAGGTGCTTCTATGCAGCAGCGGTGGTAAGAACTTTGCTGTTCTTGGTAATTACAGTGATATTGCCGGAGGTCGCGGCGATAGTGGGACTGGGGGTTGCGACGACAGCCTGACACGTGCAGCGGGGACCAGGCCGTATGTGGCAAGCGTAAACTGGCCGCCTTGCCTCGTCAAACACTGGTGGCAGTAGTGGCAGTATTAGTAGCAGTAATCGTGGTAATAGTAGTAGTAGTAGTAGTAGTAGTAGTAGTAGTAGTAGTAGTAGTAATAGTAGTAGTAGTAGTAGTAGTAGTCTTCTTCTCAGCAAACCTGCGCAAATGAATGCTCCTTACTGCCGCACCGAGGTGCGACCATTGTACATGGGCATTTCTGATAACCTCTCCGGCTGTAGTGGGTTTATTTGGGTGGTGGTGGTGGTGGTGGTGGTGGTGGT